GCGTTCTACATGGTCTCCCTGAAAACAAGACCAAGTTGCGACAACGAGGTCAACCCACTTCTATCAATTTAGATTACATTTTTGTAATATCCCTTTTTACGCTCATCCTGCTACCTATCATGTTAGATTTTGCCCATTTGCATTCGAGAAGAAAAATTTCTTTACATTTTACTCAGGTAGTAACTACGTGTTTGTTGCTATTCGATTTCTAAACTCACTGAATATGATTTACGAACACATTTTATTGATGTGAAATGCGTAAAAATCGCCTGCATAATCAAGAATTCAACATATCTCGGGCAGAATAGATTTAAGTACTTTAAATACCTCACAAACAACGATCTGGGACAAATGAACTCTTATTTTGGATTTTTTTAATCATATTATATTTGTAACGAACCTTAGATATGGTGAAATCTTTTCATGTGGTCGTCCCATCTTACATATATGATGATTATATATCAAAAACTTACAAAATACTAACTTGTCTCATTGTAATTTGGATTCTCAACAGATCTCCATCCACGAGACTGATGACAACGACGAAAGGTATCTTTTGGTGATGAAGGGCGCCCCGGAACGTATTGTCGATCGGTGCAGTACGATTTTGATCAATGGCCGCGAGGAGTTAATTAGCAATCAATGGAAGGAGGCCTTTAATAACGCCTACATGGACTTGGGGGGTATGGGTGAACGTGTGCTCGGGTTCTGTGACTTCCGTTTGCCTGCTGAGGAATATCCAAGGTAGGAGGTTTAAAAGTAAAATATATTTATGGACATAGAGTTTGACAGTTTTATCCTATTTTTCCTCCTAAGTTTACCCTTTTTCCTTGACATTGCGATTATTAAAATTTGTCATATTTTGAGCTTACACTTGTTTTTATGAATAATTGGTATTTTTAATGAAAATGGGGTGAAAGGGAATATCTTATGGTCCCAATTATGCCCTGAAATATAAGTAATTGATAAATGAGCTTTTGGATTAACTAAAAGAAGTTCTTTTTTAAATTAACATTGTTTTAACTCTTTTATTTCAAATATTCTGTTTATTCCTGATCGTAATTGGCTTTTTAAAGTGAAGATCACCCCTGGTACTATCATCCTAATATCGATTGCAATATTTTATTATTCAATTTCTGATTATTTTAGGCGTGAACGAAAGTTCTCGTTTACCTCATACTCCCAACACGCTTGTATCCTAGCACTATGACAACGATGAAGAGGTGTACCTCCTTGAGCTGTTTTTATTATTGGATTGAATGATGGCTGGCCCCATCATTTCCTGCAATTTCTTTGTATTTCATATTGCCCTCTTTTGTCCTACACTCTTTAAACTGTCTTACTCTTATAATGGCTGCTGTCTCCTTCCTGCACAACTTATGGATAGGGGTGGTGCCTACCACAGTAAAGTTGTCTCACAGATTAGATATTATGTTTTTATGCCCGCAGACGCGAGGGTCTTGGCAGTATATTCGGACTGCCTGGTAGCTGATCCTTTATATCCTCCCATTGGAATTGCAATTACGTTTCTTTTCTGCCCTCTTAGGCCCAAATAACTTTAAGTATCTACCCATTGGAACTGGTATTCCTTGAAATAGAATAACTCTCCATCGCTTTACTCAGAACTATTTCTCTACTGCTTGCGATATCTGTCAGTAGAAGCTTCCAATCTCATTTA